TCAAATAAATCGGGTAAATACTTTCTTCAAAATGGTGAAAAATGTAAAATCGGCCCGCAAATCCGTTTTCGAGCCCTGATCTTTCCAAAAAATTTATATGTTCATTGTTTTAATACGAGGAGTTCATATATCAAATTTCAATGAAATCGGTTGATTATTTCTCTTTATATAAACAAAAATGTATATTTGGCCCGTAGTAAGCGTCTAGTTGCCGATGCCTGATTTCTTCCAAAACATACGAATTTTTGCGGACGGTCGAGCTGAGCTTATATATAAAATTTCAAGTAAATCGGTTGAATATTTTCTTCAAAATGTTCAAAAATGTAAAACAGGCCCGCTTAAAAGTGCAGTACCCGAGGCCTGATATATACCAAAAGTTGATCGATCCGTGCCATGGTGGAAACAAAGTTACATATAAAATTTCATCAAAATCGGTTCAGCCGAACTTGAGATACACGCGTGCACACACAGACCGACAGACGGACAGACCGACAGACGGACAGACCGACAGACCGACAGACCGAAAGTTTGCTAAAAATAGTTTATTTACACTCGATATGCAAAATTTGTTGCCATCACATAACCTACCTATTGTTTACACAATACGGTCGGTAAATATAAATTAACATTTGAGAGTTAAAATGAAATACTTTATTTTGACTCCATAAAATAGTGCTGCCATTACTGATTCATAATCACTACGAAAGGAATTTTTTATCATTGAAAAATGTAATTAAAAGAACAAAGCAAAAGTCAGTTATGGTCTGGGTATGCATAGCTTCGGTTGGGGTTTGGTAATTTTGTGTTTGTGGATGAAAAAATGAAGAAATTAAAATTTTACAAGAATATATTGCGTCAAGTGTGGAAAAATTTGGTCTGAACAATAATTAGATCTTCAAGCAGGACAATTACTCAAGACATATAGCCCTTATTATCCAAGAATGGTTGCTGTACAAGACACTCAAATAACTAGATCATAACTAGAACCTCAGTGTCCAGAGCTTAACTCAATTGAGCATTTGTGGGATTATTTGGATAACAACATTAAAAAATCTGATGTGATCAGCACATAACCGACCGCATTGTATATTGTCTAGTTAAGTGAAATGGTTACAGAATATTATAAAAATGTCTTTTAAATGCTTCTTTCCAATTTTTAGGAAAAATTTGGCTCTTAGTAGAGTTTCGCTTTGTACTACCCGAATTCCCAGAAATGCTCGCCAGTTAACCAGAACTCAAATATTAAATTTCAAGAAATTCCATCAATTCGTTCCGTAGATATGGTGAAAAATGTAAAATCGGCCCGCAGATCAGTTTTCGAGCCCTAATCTTTCCAAAAAATTTATATGTTCATTGCTTTAATACGAGGAATTCAAGTATTAAATTTCAATGAAATCGGTCAATTATTTCTCTTTATACACGCAAAAATGTATATTTTACCCGGAGTAAACGTTCAGTTGCTGATGCCTGATTTCTTCCAAAAGCTAGGAATTTTTGAGGACGGACGAGAAAAGCCTATATATGAAATTTCAAGTAAATCGGTTGAATACTTTCTTCAAAATGTTCAAAAATGTAAAACAGGCCCGCTAAAAAGTGCAGTTCCCGAGGCCTGATATATACCAAAAGTTGATAGATCCGTGCCATGGTGGAAATAAACTTACATATAAAATTTCATTAAAATCGGTTCAGCAGAACTCGAGATGCACGCGTACACACACAGACCGACAGACCGACAGACCGACAGACCGACAGACCGACAGACCTACGGACCGACAGGTTGCTAAAAATAGTTTACTTACACTTCCCTACTATGGAGAAGTACATTCCCACCGAAAGCTCGATATGCAAAATTTATTGCCATCACATAACCTACCTATTGTTTACACAATAGGGTCGGTAAAAACAGATAAATTAGTAACAAACAAGAGCTAAAGCAAGTAATTTTAGAAAAATGGCAATAAATATCTTCTGAATTAACAGAATCACTGGCTGAATATATACCTAAAAGATTAAACGCAGTATTTAAAGCAAAAGAAATGCATATCAAATATTAATTCTCGTTGTTTTTCAAAAATTAAAAAATTTTTTATAACTGAGCCGTTTTTCGTTTGACGCATAAAAACGGCTATATTTTTGAATTTGTTTAATTTTGATTTGGTTTTGAGTAAATTCAATTTTATAAATTTATTTTTAAATTGCAAAATTAAAATAAAAAAAATCTGATGTGGTCAGCACATAACCGACCGCATTGTGTATTGTCTAGTTAAATGAAAGTGTTACAGAATATTATAAAAATGTCTGTTAAATACTTCTTTCCAATTTTAGGACATTAGTAAGCATATAGTGAACATACTTAGAAAAATGTAAATTTGGCTCTTAGTAGAGTTTCGCTTTGTGCTACCCGATTTTTCCTGAAATGCTCGCCAGTTAGTTTCGGTAACAACCAGAACTCAAATATCAAATTTCAAGAAATTCCATCAATTTGTTCTGTGGATATGGTGGAAAATGTAAAATCGGCCCGCAGATCAGTTCTCGAGCCCTGATCTTTCCAAAAAAAATTTATGTGCATTGCTTTAATATGAGGAATTTATATATTAAATTTCAATGAAATCGGTTGATTATTTCTCTTTATATACACAAAAATGTATATTTGAGCCGTAGTAAACGCCCAGTTGCTGATGCCTGATTTCTTCCAAAAGTTAGGAATTTTTGCGTATGATCGAGCAAAGCTTATATATGAAATTTCAAGTAAATCGGTTGAATACTTTCTTCAAAATGGTGAAAAATGTAAAATCCGCCCGCAAATCCGTTTTCGAGCCCCGATCTGATATATACCAAAAGTTGATCAATCCGTGCCATGGTGGAAACAAACTTACATATAAAATTTCATCAAAATCGGTTCAGCCAAACTTGAGATACACGCGTGCACACACAGACCGACAGACCGACAGACCGACAGACGGACAGACCGACAGACCGACAGGTTGCTAAAAATAGTTTATTTACACTTCCCTACTATGGAGAAGTACATTCCCACCGAAAACTCGATATGCAAAATTTGTTGCCATCACATAACCTACCTATTGTTTACACAATACGGTCGGTAAATATTAAGAGTTAAACAAAAAAGATTCTACCGAACGGTTTTTTTTCACACTTACTGCATAAAAAAAATTTAAATAGCATGATAAAAAATTTATCATTTTTATATCTTTTATTTATTTATTTAAATTTCTGTTTCTAATATGAAGTTATTGTATTTTTTTTGTAATTCTTAATATAAGTATAGAACTGACTTTATAATTTGTATTTCAATTGAGCTGTTCTACTGAAAAATTCACAATAAAACTGGCAAAGTCTTGGAGAAGCTATATAAAATACACCCCTTGATTATTTTTCAAGTACTTTATTTCAGATTCCCTTCAATTTCCAAGACCATTTTTAATGAAAATTTCAAAACAAAATTTGTAGAACTTTTCAGAACCTTTTTTGAAATTTTACGTGTAATACTATAAATAAATATATTTTATAATATTAAACAATCGCACAAATTTGGTAAGAAGCCACTATTCCATCAAAATATTAACCAAAGCTCCATAAGAATTTTTGCTAGATGTTTACTTTTGGTAAACATTATAGTTATAAAATTACATGATAAATTTTATGATTTTATTGTATTTATTTGTTTTTTTCTTTATTCCAAATTTCTCGGCTTCCAATAATTGTAACAAATTTTAACATTAAAATTATCGTAATAAAAAGTCGGTATAAGTGATGTCACCACGTAGTAAGAATATTTTCTGTAAAAAGCATTGTAACAATATGAATTATCCAATACGTTACTAAACGTACTACGAACTTTGCAGCAAAAGCGAAAAAATGACAATATTGAAATACTTTTGCACTCTTCTAATTTTTGGAACAAATCGTCTTCTTTTTATTCATCTTTTTATATATTTCAAGATAATAATAAATAAAGTTGGGTCAAACCAATGGTTTGTATTGTAGCACTTTTCCCTTCAACAAGTGAAAATACTGCTTTTAAAAACAATCTATGTATATCCACCGCACTATTAAAATTATTTTCATTCATAAACGAAACTATTTCTAGGATTGCATATATTTAGGATGAACGATTTATGCAGTCTTTGAAATAGATAAAAATTAATATAAAGAGGGGTTAACATAATGCTCGATTTTAAGGGTTAATTCTGTGAGTTAAGAAAAATAATTATATTTTTTAATGTCATGGAATTTACCGTTAGCTTTTTGCGTTTATAGAAATTTGAAAAAGCTTGCGGTTTCGGAAATATAAGGTGTCAAAAATTCAAATTTTACGAATTTCAAGAGCCGATAACTTGAGAGGGGGTGGAGATGAAAAAAAATTTTCTTCTAACGAAATGAACTATTTGTTAATGTCTAACAGCCCCTAAAATTTCAAGCTTCTGCAGGCTGGGGTATAGGAGGAAAACGACATCAAAAATTTGGAAAAAAAGGTCTTTAGATAACGGTAAATTTGAACGGCCATTTTGTTTTTCTAGAGTTTAACTTTAGTATTCCGCGCTAGGGAAAGCAAGCCGCTGCCTTTCTGCGTTTGCAAAATTTCAAAAATGCTTATGGTTTCATTGCAACAAATAGTTAAAATGGGCCATTTTTAGTGTTTTGGGGGGGTATAACTTCTAGAGGGGGGGAGATAGGTAAAAATTTTGTTCTACGAAAATAAGTTTCTAGTAAAGATCTATGTACGTATTAAATTTCAGCTTTCTATCTTTAAGAATGTAGAAGTTTTGTAAACAGACACACGGACAGACGGACGGACGGACGGACGGACAGAGTGAAACTAATAAGCACTTTTTTTCAAAAAATTTTTGGAAAAGTGCTAAAAATGAAGAAAATCCGATGAAGCAAAAAAACAAAAAATATTGGAAAAATATGAAAATACTATAAAATTTTAATGTTGTTATGTTATAAAAAGAAAGTATTCATTCAATCTATCGCAGGTGGTCATAATGGGAACATCTACAACTTCAGTGACAGATAATAATACTTCAACAGAATCAGCATCAACTCTTATTACCAACGTGACAACCACAGATACTGAAACCAATGGTTCACTTGATATTGGTAAGTGTTATATGTATACCTTAGTAGAACTTTCATAGAAAAATAAAATAAAGAGCTATCCTAAAGCAAAGAGAAAGAATTCATGAAAGTATGATACAAATGAAATGTGGAAAAATCCCAATTTTATGGCCAAAACTCATATTTGCTTTTTGTCACTCTTAAAATTTTGTTCTTTTATACCGACCGTATTGTGTTATAAATAGGTAGGTTATGTGATGACAACAAATTTTGCATATCGAGTTTTCGGTGGGAACGCACTTCTCCATAAAATGAAATATTTTTACGAAGTGAAAATAAAATATTTTTAGCAACCTGTTGGTCTGTCGGTCTGTGTGTGCACGAGTGTATATCAAGTTAGGCTGAACCGATTTTGATGAAATTTTATATGTAAGTTTATTTCGACCATGGCACGGATTGATCAACTTTTGGAATATATCAGCCATGGGAACTGCATTTTTTAGTGGGCCTGTTTTATATTTTTGACCATTTTGAAGAAAATATTCAACTGATTTACTTGAAATTTCATATATAAGCTTTGCTCGATCGTCCGCGAAACCTCTTAACTTCTGGAAGAAATCATGGACGTTTACTACGGGTCAAATATAGTTTTTGCGTATATAAAGAGAAATAATGAACCGATTTGATTGAAATTTTATATTTAAATTCTTCGTATTGAAACAATGAACATATAAAGATTTTGGAAAGATCAGGGCTCGAAAACTGATTTGCGGGCCGAATTGATGCAATTTCTTGAAATTTGATATTTGAGTTCTAGTTGTTACCGAAACTAACTGGCAAGCATTTCAGGGAATTCGTGTAGCACAAAGCGAAACTTTACTAAGAGGCAAATTTACATTTTTCTAGGTATGTTAACTATAAGCTTACTAATATCCTAAAAATTGGAAAAAAGTATTTAACAAATATTTTTATCAATATTCTGTAATACTTTCACTTAACTAGGCAATACACATTGCGGTCGGTTATGTGCTGCCTACATCAGATTTTTATACCCGTACGAACGTATGTTCGAAGGGTATACTAAATTTGCCTTACCGTTTGTAACGCTAAGAAATAACGGTCTTAGATATAGACTCAAGTGTATGTTTTTGGTCAGCGTCAAATTCTGAGTTGATTTAGCTTTGTCTGTCCGTTCGTCCGTCCGTCCCAACGATAACTCAAAAACTAATTGAGCTAACTTCACCAAATTTTCACAAATGATTTATTGTAGTAAGTGCCAGAACCCTATTTAAATTGCACATGATCGGGGTACTGGTTCGGGTAGCTGCCATACAACTTCAAAAGTTATTTGGCGATATCTCAGAAACTATATAAGCTATGGTATTGAAATTTCACAAAAACGAATATACTAGTAGGGCCAATGTGTATGATAAAAGTCGTTAAAATTGCTTGGCTCCTTCTGATACCTGCCATACAACTTCAAAATTTAATTGGCTATATCTCAAAAACTATAAAAGTTGTGGTATTGAAATTTCACACAAACGAATATATTAGTAGGGCCAATGTGTCTCATAAAAGTCGTTGGCTCCTTCAGGTACCTGCCATACAACTTCAAAAGCTATTTGGCTATATCTCAGAAACTATAAAAGCTATGGTATTGAAATTTCACACAAGCGAATACATTAGTAGGTCCAATATGTTTGATAAAATTCGTTAAAATTTCTTGGCTCTTTCTGGTAGCTGCTATACAACTTAAATAGTAGTTTGGCACACACAGTATTTTGAAAAACACACAGTACTGAAATTTTGCATAAATTAATATGTAATACGGCAACTTAAAATCATAGTCTGTCCCATAGTCAGTTATGGCATCTTTATTTGCAGATAGGATAACAAATTCGTACGGGTATCACAGAGTTGACTAGGTCAACTCTATTTTTTTTCTCGTTTTGTTTTAATTTTCCATTCTTAAAACTTACTTCATCTAGTTCTTTAGCATGGAACAATATTTTTTATTATTATTTACATTACCTTTTTTTCTACCTTATTTATGTTGAACAAATCTAATAAATCTAAATTTATTAAAAGTATAATTGTAAAAAAAAAATTGTAACCCTTTAAATAACATACGAATAAGAGTTTAATTTTATCTCTTACTAAATAATATACGATATAAAACCTAATTTGCCTGAAAGTTTGTTGGTAAATTTTGTTACCAAACTGAATAGAAATTTTAGAAATACAGTCGGTAAATATACGACTAGTGAAAGTGCGGATTTTCAGGCAATTCCCCTAAAAATATTTTTATCTGACAAGTTAATACTTGTGATATTTTTCTCGGTCCAATTATGTTATACTTCTAACATATAACGCTATTTTCTATTTCAGCCCGACCTGTACAAATGGGGTTAGTAAAAGATAAATGAAATAATGCAACTCTTGGGAAGTCTTGAGATTAAGAAAATGTGCATTTTGTTATTTTGAGCTAAAACTTTTAGTTACAGTGCAAATTAAAGGTTTAAAATATTTACAAAATGTTTGACTTGTTAAATGAAGCTCCATGAGTTTTTGTATTGTGCGAGAGCCTGTTTCTGTTATTTTACTATTGAACGCATAAAAAATTTCCTTCTTTTAAAAAATATATTCGCCATTCATCTACATATTTCTTTATTACGTACGTCTGTTCCTTAGTGTTAATAGTTTCTCTTGAAAAACAAAATTACAAAAACTTTTAAAAAACGGCTTTTAATATTTTACAAAATTGCACTACAGGTACACTCAAAATAAAAAGTATGTAATTTTTGAAGGAACGCTACCAGTTAAAATATAATCCGTTGATTTTCCTAAGAAAAATCGTTCCATTAAAAATATTTAGTTGAATTTGGTGAAAACAATGGAAATTTTTCCTTAACGCCGTAACTGAGAGCGAAACGACGAAAAATTGTAGTCCTTTAAATTCGTCCGTTGAAAGGTATAAATCAATCAAAAACAGTAAAATATATTTTTTGACTGTCGTTTTCATTTAATCCAACTAAATCAATAGAAGAAATCCTTTAACAAGTTAAAGGTAAATAACAAAGTTAAAGCTGTTAAATATGTCTGTTGAAAAAGTTAATTCTAATTAAAGGGAAAATACAGTAATGTTAAAACTAGAATAGAAAAAAAAAATCTTTTTTTTGTTGTATCTTTGAAAAAAAATAGTTATTTGTTGCATTTTTTTGTTAAATCGAACTCTTATTAATATTTTATTTCATTTAACATATTATTCATATTATATTTAGATAATAACTTAATTAAATAAGCTTGTGAAAGATTATTTTTCACTAATTAAAATTTCTTAAATAAACAAGAGCTAAAGTTTTTAAAATTGTAAGAAGAACTTAATCGACTATAATTTTCTAATGACGTAAAAATATTTTCAAGTTTTTTACATTTTAGATTTCCAAATTTATTTCGAAAAGAAAAATTTTTACAAAAATTCAAATAATTTCACATTCATTTATTGTTATAATTTCACATTCATGTATTGAATGTTTACGAAAAAATCTGAGAACAATATTAAACAGCGTTTTCATACATATGTAGATTTATTTAGAATTCAGGCAAAAATTTTTATTTAGGCACAAAGTGCAAGGTTGATTTTGTTTTTTTATCATGTTATACATATATGTCAGATGGATTATCAATAAATTTAAAAAGCGTATTACAGTTCACTGATGTGTTTTCACTGACAAATTAGGCGATATTAACATGGATGTTTTTTGAATTAGATGTTCTTATGTACGTATATGTTATAAAACTCGGACACCAGTTAAATCTTGTACAAATAAAAAAAACATGATTTTATATCCAAATTCACATTTTATTCGTTAACCGGCTTTTTCAAGAATCTATTAGCCGGTTTCTTCAAGAATCTGAAGAATAGCGGTTTCAAATTTTTTAAGAAGTGCAGTAAAGAAATATTTTGTAGTTCATAAAGAAAATATTATTTAAAATATCGTTTGATGTTAAAACCGGTTATTAGTTTTACGGACTTATTTTTATGTAAAGGACATAGTTCGCTTATTGTAACTAAACTTTTTCCTTTAAAACCGTAGAAATGGAAAAGTTTCAATTAGACAACAAAATTTCCAGTCAAAATAACAAAAAAAATCTTTTAAAATATAACGGTTTCTCAAATCACGCGATATTTATGAATTTTTTAATTTTTAGTTTCATATGCACTGGCGAAACATGTAACTTAATGTTACTTCTTCACAAATGAGCATTTTCAAATTTAAGTATTTATTCAATACTGTTAAAATAACCATAATTTTACTATAAATATAATAAGTGTTAAAAGTGTGTTTGTCCTAGAAAAATATTTTTTAGAGCTGCTTAGCCTTTCTGTTAAAATTAATTTCGAAACAAGATTTTAACTTGCAGTAATATTTTACAAATCTTTTTTATGAGAATAATATTATATGTATTAAAAAATTATACATGTACGATTTACTAGCAATATTTACGACAGTTTAAGTTATGTTTTCCTTCATGTTAAAATTTATATGTTCTCTATATTCATATTGTTGGTTTCGAAATCAGAACTCATAACTAAAAGATATCACTTTTTGATAAAGGATTCTCAAAAGAATAGAAAAACCCTTGCAAAAGTTTTTCTTATAATGTGGCGAATTCTTATTATTTATTGACATTTGTTTTAAGTTTCGTACATTTATTTAACATAATACGCAAATAATTAATGTATTATTCAAAATCTGTGTATAAAAGAGTTGAAGATATAAGTAATTAAATTACCGCACGTAAATGTGTACATTTTAAATATGTACATATATTGTAATATTTCATTTGTAAAAAAATATTATTAAGCAGTTTTGTTAAAACTTTTAAAGTTATTAAAATATATTTTGTTAAATATAAAAGGTTTTCAGTTAATACTAAGCTTCATTGAAATAAGATTAAGAAGCTTTCTATTATAAATTACGTCAATTTGTTACTTGTTATTATCAAAAATAATTAACTTTTTCTTGTTAGATGTAATT